ACATGTGAGATCTGTGATTAAACCTCCAGTTTTCATTTTTAACAGAAAATAGCTGTAGGCAACTTTGAATCAGATTGGAGCAGGAACCCTGGGTGAGCAGCAGTTAACCCTTCCATAATCTTTCTACTTTGTATTAGCTGAGCAGTTTTCTAGCTGACTCCCACCCAGTGCCACTCTTCCAAACCAATTTAGAGCTCCCCGTGGCTGCTTTGAACTAAAAATGAAAATGTTGGGAGATCTAATCAAAGCTCTCCTATGATCATGCAGCTCGGCCTGTTTTCTTCTGTCGGTTATGCATTCTGCTCTCACTAATAAGGCATGCTTGGATATTTATATTAGAGTAATGTGTGTCTTACATTGTTGATATGATAAAAACCATGTTGCACGGTTCTGCTGCTTAAATAAAAGAAATGGGTATATGCAGGCTTTTAATTTTTAGAGAATTTATGTTCTCTAGCTGGCTAATCCACTATATTTAAAAGAAAAATGTTCTGGAATTGTGTTTTAGTGCAAGTGTGGTGTCACTTTGAAATCTGCTGTAGTTGTCAATCTGACTACTATGCAGATGTATAGAATTTAATTATGTAGAATAAGCAAGGTTTAAAAAACTGCATCCAGTGTGTGATGGGAGCGAATGCTTAAAGCATTTTGTAGGAATATTGTTCTTTTCCTTGGTTAAATCCAGATTTCTCCATTGTCCCTAGATGTTCCTGGAAAAGTAAACTTCCTAGCCCATGGTAAGATGTATCTCCTAGAAAATATGTTTTGAAATCCATCATATTCTGGCTCAAACTAAAAAATAAACATCAGGCTCAGACAGGCTCTGTCAGTGTGGTTTGTAATTTTTCTCTGTTTCCTCTTCACCCCCATCACAAATTGTGTTCTTACCCAGGATAAAGTCCAAACTCTAGAAATAATAAAAATTTAAAGACAGAATTTCTGGATATCCCAAGGAGGGGAAAATGGTTGATGTTTGTTTTGTTTTCATTCTAATTCTGACTGAGACACTGTATTGTGCACAAGCAGGAGATGATCTTTTTTTCTCAAAAAGATTAGCAAAATCAAGCAATTGGCATAAATGATGCTGTGGAGTGCATTTTCCATGTGCCATGATGCTCCTTTCCCTTATCAGTTGGTAAATGAAACCTGTGTATTAGAAGGATCACTGGACGGGAAGATAAAATCATGGCACTTTGCATTATGTGCATAGCAACATGGTCTTACAGGTACTCTAGATAGCTGTAATGAAATTGTTTTGGCCCCAACTGGCTTTGACGCCAGCAAAAATCCAATGTGATAGATTTGTTTATATTTATAAAACTTGTTTATTTTTGCTAAAGTAACTGAACCAAGGTACACAAAATTCAAGAACAGTGCAGTAAACAATCTCTTCTCTTTCTCTCCAAAATTATAATTTTGTTGGTAGGAGGGTCTCTTTTGCCAAGATAGCTCCAAAATTGGCTGCATGCTTTCTGTGATTCCCCACTCCCAGCTCTAATTATTGTAGTCTTCCTTATGATCAAAAGCTTTGCCCTTGCAAACAGGTGCTTGCAAATCACAAGTAAATTTCTCCAACCAAGATAAATGGACAGTTAATGTTCCTGTCACAATTTCTTAGGACATGTCTCCAAATAACAGTCTTCAGACAGTTTTGATTATGTTATTCCAGGCTCCAGATTTAGGGACATTAGTTTTTCCTAATATGTAATTAAATAAGTACCCCCAAAGATGTCTCCTTCATACTGCAAAAAGGTTATGTAAGCACAAAGTGTTCATAAAATGTAGGGGAAACTGTGTGTGTTGACTTTTACTAGTAATACTGAATAGCCCCAAATCTGATAAGCCTTTAAAAGTAGTTTTGAGATGTTCTTCTAGGAAAGGATTATTCTGTTAGTTGGCTGGTCAAAATGAAATTCTGTGCAAAAGCATTCAGCTTCATGTTGTCCTGTCATATATTGTCCTATATACCTTGACTTTCCTTTGGAAAGCCCCAACTCATTATGTGGCAATAGAATTGGAGAAATGATGGATCTGCATGCAATACATGAACTGAGCCTGAGACAAGAATGTTTTGTATATTAAGGTATATGACTTATTAAGAGTAAGCACAATAGTTTGACTTATGAACAGTACCAGTGATAGAAAAAGATGATAGGCTTGCACAGAATATAACCATGTGCACAGCCTGAGCTTTGATAAAGTTATCACAGAGTACTTTCTAATGCAAAATATTAATTTAACCAGAAGCAAAATGTTAAACTTAACTTGTTTTTCTTTAAAACATCATTTTCTCCCACTATTTGAGTATTTTTGTTTCCCTTGTAACAATATGTCAGATTATGCCTATGAATTTCTTCTTTCTTTGAATGTTGTCCAATGTAACCAGACATTTTAAGAAATCTACCATGTGCTAATAATGGAAGTAAGCCTTGGGAAGCAAGCTTCTGTGTTTTTGTTTTTGAGCAACTGCTCAGTCCACAGAGGTATAAGGAAGACCTGATTCCTAATCTCCTTAGTAATTAAGATTTGATATCTTGTCTTGAAAGCATTTTATATGTGCATTTTATCCAGGGCTGCTTTTCTACCCCTGAAATTGTGCAGGGAATTTATTTGTTTTGCTTTCTAAATCTTTAAAATAGTGATTTATTTTGCATGTCTCCTACCATATATTTTTGCTGTTACTGTATGTTGTCTTTCTTGATTAGGTTTTGTTGATCTCAGCTTCCATGACATTTAGTTTCCTAACACAAATAGAATGCAAAATGTATAGAACATACGAAGAAATTAAAATATGACAGCACTCCTCAGAGATAGATTTTTTCCCCTGAGGAAAATACCATGTTTTCCCTTCTAATTTATTTTACCTAGGCTACAAGACATACTCTGTTGAAATAATCTGTAGACTGTAATAGACTGTAATAGCTGTGGAGTCCATACGTGTGGCTGTAGCAAAAAAAGAAGCCATATAAACCTTTCTTGTACACATCTTAATAATAAAGCTGTCTGCCCTCAGAACTATTTTTGTAATACTTGTTGCCCAGATAGATTTAACTGGTTTAATTCTGCCTCATTGTTCCAGGAATATCTTCCAGTTACTTGGCAACTGAAAGTAACCCTTTGAGGACCCTTTGTCACATGTATCAACTAACCCACTTTTTTCAGGCAAAGAGTAGATTTGTCATGTGATGCATAAGCAAAACAAAGCAAAATTGTGCCCGCCAAGTAGCAAGGCAGTGTAGTGCTTGACAGAGCTTTGGGCAAAGAGGCTGGGGTCTCTGTGCCATTGGTTCTTGCTCTTCAGCTAATCTTTCTGAAGTGTGGACTACAAAGGCTGCTATCTTGGTAGTGGACAATAATAGTTCTACACTTCTGTGATTCTGCCACTGTCTACCCTATTGCAGCCTGTTATTGTTCATTTCACTTAACATACATGCAGGTAATGTTAAGTAAAAGTGTGTATGTGTGTGGTGGGACTGCATGGTATAAAATACTCGATAACACATAGGTGTAATGCATACACATTGTGCTTGTGTTTCTTAACTTTTGATCTTGATTTATCCTCTACATAGTATCGTATTCTCCCCTCCACCCACCTGTTTGTGTGCAAAATGAACTGGCACATAATAAGGAGATGTGCATACCCCTCCGGTGCTATGTGAAGTCAGGCAAGCTTGTTTATATAATCTCGGTATTTGCCAATTTGTGTTTATCTTTTAGTGCTTCGTGCAATTCTGCTTGCTTATACGTATGCCCAGTATGAGTGGAACTTTTGTCAAGTAGGTTGGGTGTGCTTTTGTTTTGTTAATCCTATAACTTAATTAGTTGGAAGTCAAGATGGTGATGTAATTAAATAACCACACTGTCTTCTTTTGCAAAACAACCTAACTGTTGTTTCTAAGATGCAGTTAGCTTGAAAGAAAACTCAAGGCAATCCCCATATATCAACAGCCTTGCCTTTTTGGTGTGCTTAAAAAGATCTATATACATTCAACATCTTTTACCTAGGTTGGAAAATTAGTAAAATTGAGTGGAACATTGTTGTAATAATTTGATGACAGCTATGTAAGCAAGAGATATATCTAGTATTGTTTAGATGATCATGCAGAAAATTCATGATTACTCATGATGCCAGGACACCTCGTTTCGGTAACCCTAACCCTTCCTTGGTGCGCACCTCTAACCCTAGTACAGGGCTAAAGTTCCATTAAAGAAGGGGGCAATTGTGAAAAAACCTTCCTTGAGTAGCTGTTTCTGCACAGTCCAACATTTCTGCCCATTCTAAACACATTCCAGCCATCAAAATCACACCAGGACAGCTCGTTTTTCTAATCCTATCCCAGTGATGGTGAACCTTTTAGAGCCCAAGTTCCCAAACTGCAACCCAAAACCCACTTATTTATTGAAAAGTGCAATAAAACCTGAAAACAGCCTGTCCAAGCAAATTTATATATATTCTAGGCAGTGCACTGACCGGCCATGTGAAAGCTCATACAAATTGCGGCTAATGTGTCGCGGCTTGTGGTGCCATCGCCTGGCACCACTACTCCTTTCCAAGCATGCGCATGGCCCTTATGTGTGCTGTTATCTGATGCTCGGCTGCTGGGGCGATGCTGGGGTGACTTGGCTCATGTGCTGACAGAGAGGGCTCTGTGTGCCCACTGTGGCACGCATGCCATAGGTTCGCCACCACAGCCCTAGAGAATGAAGAGATGTGGGGGGAGGTGTATCCATCTGAAGATTACTGTGGATTATTCTCATAATGCTAACCAACATGCTAAAGCATGGCTTAGCATGACATCTGAATGAGGACATTGAACTGAGGTCAACTGTGAAGTTCCTGCCCGGAAAGCATTGGTTATGCAGCAGATTATAAATATGAGAAACAAATGCCACATCTTACTGGATAAGTGAAGTTTGTTTTCTGAAATTAAACCAAATGAAACAAGTATAGAGTGCAGTCTTTTTTGTTTACTTAAGTTCTTTCTTTTCTTCTGTTTCAGAGATACAAAGCCACAGTTGTTCCTGCACACCATGTCACAATAATCTGCCACAAAACAGCTGCTGCACGTGGCTTTCTTCTGTCATTGATTCATAGAAGAGAAATGATAAGCACAAAGTAGAGATACTGCACTTTGGTGAACAGAGACTTGGGCAATATGTTCTGTACTAAACTGAAAGACCTGAAGATCACCGGCGAATGTCCTTTCTCCTTGCTGAGCCAAAGTGCCATATCAGATGAAAATGAGGAGGAATGTGCTGAAACCCCCAAAATTTCTAAAGTTCCTTTGCCAATCTGCAGGGAGAAGGAAACTCATGGGAACCTTCCACAAAGGAAAACCAGCAGGAGCAGAGTATACCTGCACACTTTAGCTGAGAGCATCTGCAAACTCCTATCTCCAGAGGTAACATTTTTTTATGTTCAGAAGATTGTTAAGAAGACTCTTTTTAAGAATGTCAAACTAGTTAGTGTGTTGAACTAGGACCAGGGATATCTGGGTTCATACTTGTCATCTCACTCTGCCAGTGAGATGACAACTATATAATCATTAGCTTGCTTAAGTTAGATTTATGGACTGCTGATCAATAATAGAAGCAGTTTGTGGAAACTGAGAGGAAGAAAGTAACTATAAAGTCATGGATGATAACCTTCCGCTTTCAGTTCAAAATTCCAGTATGCTGTTCAGGACAAAGGAATTTTTAAAACTATAGGTATTTTGTTTTATTTAGGTCTTTATCTATAGTTCTTGTCCCCCTATTTTTGATTAAAAGTCTCATTCATTTTTTTTAAAGGACCCACAACTCCTAGCAACTCACAGACAGCTTAGCATTTTTTTCTATCTAAACTTGCCTAGGATTGTAGCCCCTGTTGTAGGAAGGGTGCCAATACCCCCAAACAGCATATAAATCCATGGGAGAATGAATAGGCAAGAATCACAGCCAGTAACCAAGATGGTCTAAGAGCATTCTTTAGTGAGAAAGGCAGCTTTGTAGTATTGAATAAGGCCAATGGGCCATTTTTGTCCCATCTGTCCCAGATGTCAGCAGTTCCACAGCATCTCTCTGGCAGAGGCCCTTCACAGTGCCATTGGCAAAGATCCTTCAATCAGAGATTGGACATGGACTTCTAGATATAGAGTATGTTGTCTTCCCAAACTAAGATTCCTTACAACATATTCATACTGCACTCTTTTAATTAAAATGCATTTGAACAGGCATTCCTTTAAAACAGAATTCTATATAGCACTCTAAAGCAGGCACAGGAATGGAGTATCCTCCAGATGTTTTAACCCATTATTCCCATTATCCTTGACCATTGGGCATGTCAGCTGGGACTTTTGGGAGTTACAGTCTAAACCAGTTGAAGGGCACCAGATTGCCTTGGATGTTAAGTATATGAGTGCTTTTATAAAGGAATCCTAAAGTGCCTGTGCAATTTTATATGGTATATCAGTTACAGTGGCTGAGAAAGTGTCCTGACACTACTAATGAAAGAACAGATTCCTGCACTGGGTCTCATTATGCTATATGTGGGAGAAACAGGCATTTAATTGCACTCATCTCCTTATATGGTCTCAGAGCTTTCAAAAAAAAAGTTAACATCCCTTTTCACTGGCTAGTTGGCAGGACCCGCTTAAGTTACCCATTTTCCACATGGAAAACTCCATAACAGAGAAGGTTGGTATCGTGCCCGGATCAGTGCATGTTGCTTCCATTGATGTCAGCAAGAGGCCATGTGTTAGCATCATGAGCAGGGGAGAACATGGCTTGAAACAGCATTTGATGAAATTTAAGATACCCGTGAATGCATATGTGCTTTTGCTTACTCATTAATTTAGGTTAAAAAAAAAAAAGACATCACAGAGTCAAGGAAAGTGCTGAAAGTCCTTCACATATTGTTTCTGTTAAAATATATAAATATTAATTACATCTTGTTTTAATAAGGTATAGCATTAGGTCGAGTTCTTTTTATTTAAAATGTAAAGCATATCTTGCATTAAGAATACAATGTATCTTGAGGCAGCATAATTTTCCTTCATCCCTTCCCTTCATAAAATAGCTCTCTAAAATTTCTGTGTATCATACAATAAAATTGACTGAAAACATTAAACATTGTATAAGTATCCAAGCTCAGTATTTAAAGCAGCAACAGAGTGTGTTGTTTCCTTATTATACATTCTGTGGAAATGTTGACTTTGATGTTAAATGTCTAGGTAGCCATTTGTTGCGGATGTCCTAACTCTGGACTTCCCACACTGGGCAGGAGGTTGGACTTCTTGAACCTCCAAACCTCTCCTACTCTGATTTTACTATGTGGGCAGCGTGCAATGTGTGGGCACTGTGCATTTGATAAACTAAAATGACACTAGTGGAGCTCTGCTGAATCCCTTAAGCGGATGCCAATTGTGCTTGTACAACCAGTTGCACAAAGAGTTCTGCAAGAGTTATATGTAATTGGTTGCACAGCATAACTTAGTAGGATTCTTCTCTTGCATATAGTTCAGAATCTAGTTTTTTACTAGCACAATATTGTTTTTGTTAACTGAACGACGGCTGGATATGCTGCGTGATTCCAGAAGTCAGATACTTAACTTAAGAATTAACTCCTTTTTCTCTCTTCTTCTCTTTGTCTGCAATCTCTGAGTGTAACCCTTTTGCAGGACCACAGAGGGTGCAAAAAGATCCCCCACCCGCAAGGCAGATTTTCAGCTTGCATAAGGAAGCTCAAGCAATAGTGATTACATAAAGGGACTTAAATATGGCTAGTGCAGTATTTGCCTTCAGTGTTTCCACTTGCTCTCTTTTTCTACTTTTCATTTCAATCAGTCTGGTGGGATCTACCTTTCATTTCAATAAAAATAGGTAGACAAAAATCATCTTCCTTCACTGAAAGGAGTGAGTGAGAGCACACAGCTGGTCAGGAGACCAATTTGTACTTCAGAGCAATCCTAGAGCTATTATTAATCACTAAGCTGGGATAATTGAGTGCTACTGGAGTATATCTAATGAATATAAGTCACTGTATTTTCCTTTACTCACAGTGACATGTGAATACCACATTTGTTGAGAATATAGTAAACTAAATTTCCATAACAGAGTTGGTGACTGAGCATTCAGATTGTGCTAGTGTGCAAACTTACCATGTGATTGCCCTGATCCGAATCCAGATGTTATCACGATGATATAGAGCCCTGACCATGTGAAAGCAGGTGATGTTCTACCTCAGCCAAGTGAAACTATGCTGCAATACACTGCCAACAAAAGAGAGAGATTATTGGGAATTCCGGTGCTGCAAATATAGCTGTACTTTTGGATTGGATGGGATTGTGCTCTACCTTAAACATGGGATTTGCAGCATGGGGAAGCTCCAGATTTTGGTTGTAATCCTGGATGGCCGGGTGACTGGTGTTATTAAGACTGTGCTTTTCTTTAAAGAAGCCAAACTGGACCTGATCATTCATGCATGAGTCATTTCCACATTTGTACATATTCCTGTACTGTATTCTGTGTTAAGCAATCTTTGAATACAGATTCACAAACTGCAACTTAGCCAAGAGGTGGCTGACAGCATGTAATGTAAGCTATGCTGCTGTCTGGTGCACATGCTTGGCCAAAGGCATATATGCATTTAAATATCTCTTCGTAATATGTAGTATTCATTGGATTTACTTCATCAAAATAGGGCCTTGGCTAACTGATATTGGCATCTTTTCCATTCTTTTCTTTCCTTATTTAAAGTATCTGAATAGGTCTTTTTATGCTAATTTGACTATTAAACCTTTTAACATCCTTGAAATTAATATGACCTTTTCTTATTTCAGTTTGAAAGGTTATATCTTGCATTTCAAAGAACACTGGCAAATAAAAGCATAAAAGAAATAAGGTAAGTTATCTATGATTGTAAAATTAAATAAATGCAAGAGCAAAGCATCTTTAGTTGGCACCTAGGGAATAAGACCCTTGGCATCCCAAAGCTCCTGCATTTCATGTCATTTTATGTATTAGTTTAAAATGAACAATTTGTTCTAAGTTATTTCTTGGAGAATAACTTTATAGGATAAATTCTTCTACCACTATGTGAGGACTGTGGTTTTGGCTTGCATTGCTCTTGATTGAGTGACTTGTAGATTGATACTGTTATATACTTATGTAATATAATGATTGCACAGACTCTGTAGGAAAGGACTAGGTACAAGGTTGATTGCCCATGCGGTTTGCAATAGATTGGCAAAGATTTATGACTCTCACTTGTTCAGCAAGAACACCTGCAAAACACCACCATCACCCCATTCTAAATTATACTGGTGAAATGAAGAATGTTTGGTTTAAGTAAGAATGGATTTCTGTGCAGAGGGACTGTGCGTTCTGGTACTCATGACTTGGGTTCAGAATTCTTTGATTCTAAGTGCATTTCAGGCTCTGTTAAAAAGCAGATCCTGCAAGCCTGGAGTCAGTCCACCCTTGCTTTAACAGATCTCTCTGTTGCTGAAGTTGAAGACAGTGCCAAACAGAGTCTCAAACACTAGAACAATGAATACTTTGGACTATAATTTAACATTAAGACACTGAACTCTTTTATCAGGACAGTGTGTTATTGTCATAAGGTTAAATGTTGAGCAATATTCCCTTTAGAGTACTATGATTTTGGTACAGTGTTGTGAAGTACAGTTTGTCGTTCAGTGGTGTGAAGACAGTGGGAACAAAGGGGTTGTCCTGAGGCATGAGAAACAATGGGTTAAACATATCTAACTTTTTATAGAGTTAGAATGCAATCCTACGCATGTCTAGGCAGATAAAGTTCCGATGATTCCATGCTGGCTGGCAATGCTGGAAGTTGGACTTTGTTTCAGCCTCAACTTGCATAGGATTGTGTCCTTAGCTATACATTTAACTTTTCTTTAGGAGACAGAATGAAACTGGAAGACACAATGGACAATTATTTAAGCCTCCTGTTCTGGAAAATGAAAATCTTTTGTTATGATTTTGTGTCAGTGAGTGTAAATCTCAAAGAATGTGGACCATAATTTTAAATAAATTGACTTGGCAGTAAATTTTGTTGACTTCCTAGTTTAGGATATGTTTCCAACTGCAATATGTAAAAGAATGTTGATCCTTTTGCTAGTGGTTACACAGAAGCAAGGATGTCTGGGATAGAGTGATTACATGGGAAAAGGCATGTAAACGCATGGGCTTGTTCAAGTGTGTTTGTGCAGAGTTGCATAGCAAACTGATAACGCTGAAGGGCATATTTTTTCAGTAAATTAGAATCTGAAGTTCTTTTTCAAAATAATAACCTTATACTTGGATAATTTAATTGCTGACTTCTTAGTAATTATTTATGTTTAAATTTATTTCAGTTAGTGTTTACTATGAAATGACAATTTAAAAAATATTTTGCTTTATTTATAGGAATAGTGGGGAAAAAGAAGACTTTGAAAAGCTAATCACTGATCATGCAAATGCAGCAGGTAAAGCGATATCTATGAATAGCTACTACTACTGAAACTAGTTGATACTTATGAAGCATCCCAGGTGGATTGAGATCTTCACAGACAACTAAAGTGGCACAGTCTCTTCCCAAAGGGCTTATTGTGTAAAGGAAAGGATGCAGTGGAATAGACAAATGACTGACAATAGTGATTGCTCATGTTTAAGTAGCTTATAATTTGAGAACCCAACATGAAATGATCTTCATTGCTAGTGTATCTTCATATAAGAGAAGTGGTGATTCAAACTTGTTTTGCCTATACAAGTGGTGGACAGAAATTTGAGCAGATATTCTTTAGTACAATTACTGGTTAGTTCAAGGAAATACTTATGGTGCATAGAAATAGCATTTTTATAGCACTAATAACCCCAAACTTGGTTACTGAGAAAATGTGATCCTTTCTGCTGTCTTGTCTTTTTCACAAACAAGCCCGTCTGTTGTGAGAATGAGTGTTGCATGGACACAGTCTTTACTGATGTTGGGAAAGGTAGAGGCAGTTATTCTTGGCATGCTTTCCAGGATCAGGGTTGCATTGACTCTTCAGATGAAGACTATGATGGCAGTGAAATGGGGAGTGTGGGAATCAAGATGGTGGAGGAGGGTGAGGTTATCTCAAGGCTGCTGTCTCCAGGTGTCCAGGCAGACCATGGGAACAGGCAGAGTTTGGAAGTGAATGGAGGGGACAAGGAAGAGGAGGAAGATGAGCCCATGCCAGTCTTGTCCCTGACCTCATGATAGGGTGTTGAGTTAGAAAGGCTATCCAATTAGAGGGCCAGCATAGATCTAGGAGTCTATCCCTTCTTCAGAGGTGCCCACCCAGAGCAGTGGAGCCAGGGTTACTGAAAAGTAGGGTTCTTGGAAGTAGTTTCTAGTTTGGGTTCTACCATTTAATGCACAGAGGCTCATCTTCTTATGGCTGTAGTTTGTTAGCTGTGAACTGGAAATAAAGAGCTATTTTGCCAAGGGACTATTTATTGCTTGAGGCAAATAAGGGGAAACTCAGCTCCTGACAACCTGGCTGTTGCCTGTTTATTTAATTGAAGCATTTCTCAAACAGCCACCATCAGACTGAATTCCAGGATGGTATACAGCAATAGAGATAATATCACTTTATGGTCTATGACTTTTTAAAAAATAAGTTTCATTTAAATTCAAGAGGCATTTATTTATTCAATTTTTAGAGACTGGGTATGGAGGTCCCATTTAAATGAGAACCAGTCAGGCTGTCCATAATACTTAAAAGTGAGAAATATAAGGAATTCTTTCCCATCTCCCCACAATTCTGTGCAATTTAGTGAACTCTCTTTCTTTCTTTTCCCTTTACTGCTTTCCTTTTTGCCACAAAATCTTTGGGAGTTGCACACTTCCCATGTTTCTCAATGGAATGCACCTCTCCCCTGATGGCAGTTCTTTGCAGCATGGTGATTACCTGAGCACCAAGGCTAAGAGTATTGTTGGACCAAAGTAAACATTAGGCTGCCAACACGGATCTGGGAATTCAGTCACTACTTTGCTACAAAGCAGCAGTGAAATCTCAGCAGGAATGGAGTGCATAACATTTCATCCACAGCAATCCCTTACATTCTTTCCCCCACCTTGGTGCTTTGTTCCTATCTATCTATCTATCTATCTATCTATCTATCTATCTATCTATCTATCTATGGAACTTCTATGCCGCCCCATTCGCCGAAGCCTCGGGGCGGCTCACAAACATAAATAATTAACATCATATAAAACAATATAATTTAACAGTATAAATTAAGTCGCCCTGGCCAAAGAATAAAATACATAATATTAACAATTAAAATAACGTTTGAATAAAAAGGTCTTCGCCTGGCCCCGAAAAAGAAATAACGACGGTGCCAGGCGGACCTCTCTGGGGAACGCATTCCATAGATTGGGCACCACTGCAGAGAAAGCCCTCCTCCGAGTACCTACCCTCCTAATTTCCTTCACGGAGCATTCCCAGAGAAGGGCCTCTCCCACTGATCTCAAGGGGTGGGCGGGCATATATGGACGTAAGCGCTCCTTCAGGTAACCAGGACCCAAGCCGTTAAGGGCTTTATAGGTCATCACCAACACCTTGAATTGGGCCCAGACTTCAATGGGAAGCCAGTGAAGCTGACGGAGAACTGGAGTCATGTGAACATAACGTCCAGTCCCCGTCAGCAGCCTGGCAGCTCTATTTTGAACCAATTGAAGTATCCAGACCGTCTTCAAGGGCAGCCCCACATAGAGCTCGTTACAGAAGTCAATTCGGGAAGTCACCAACGCATGTGTCACTGTCGCCAGGCAGTCGTTCTCCAGGTAGGGGCACAGCTGATGGATCAGCCGAAGCTGAAAGAAAGCGCTCCTCGCCACCACTGTCACCTGAGCTTCCAGTGAAAGCTCTGGGTTGAGGAGCACTCCCAAGCTGTGGACCTTGTCCCTAAGAGGGAGTGCAACCCCATTCAGGACTATGTTCAATTCACCTTCCCCGAAGCCCGATCCGCCAACCAACAGGACCTCTGTCTTGTCTGGATTGATCTTCAGTTTATTGGCCCTCATCCAGCCCATTACTTTGGCCAGGCACTGGTTCAGGCGACGATCTATGTGCTTACCATGTTATGTAGGAAAAGGTTGCTGTGGGAGGACTTTGCAAAGGAAAAGCAATAGATGCTGCTTGCTGTTTCTTCTCTTCCATTTTCGCATACACCACGTGTGGTACTTTCCAGTGGAGAAGTAGAAACAAGCCCAGTATTTGCTGCCAAACACTGGGTTTGGCTCTTCATTTTAAACAGAGTCAAAACACTTTGTTTTGTTCTAATCAATATCATCCATTATAAATGCTCCCTGGATTCTTGTTCAATATAAATTGCTGCACAAAATAAGCAACTCAGGAGAGTGAGTGCAGATGCCTTCAGTGTCTGATCTGAACTGTTTCTGAAGATGCTGAATGTTTCCGAAGAAAACACTGTTGGGTGGGTAGAAATGAAACATAAAATGTGGAAAATCAAAGACATGTAATTTGAAAGAAAAAGCAAGTGCTTAATGGGATATCTGTAACAGAAATGTTGTATGTTTTCAGGAGTTCCAGTCAACATTATAAAGGAATCACTTGGTGAAGAACTTTTCAAGATATGTTATGAAGAAGATGAACACATTCTAGGAGTTGTTGGGGGGACACTTAAAGACTTTTTGAACAGTTTCAGTACTCTTCTGAAACAGAGTGCTCACTGTCATGAAGCAGAAAAAAGGGGTAGACTTGAAGAGGTCTCCATACTGTGCTTAGAAAAAGACTCAGATTTCTTAAATGTGTACTATTTCTTTCCCAAAAAAACAACTAGCCTCATTCTTCCAGGCATTATAAAAGCAGCAGCACATATTTTGTATGAAACAGAAGTGGAAGTGATGGTAATGCCCCCCTGTTTCAACAAGGACAGCACTGAGTTTATTAACCAGCCATATTTGTTGTACTCCGTACAAGTCAAAAGTGTGAAACTATCCTTATCACCATGTAAACCCCAGTCTTCTCTTGTGATTCCTGCTTCTATGTTCTGCAAGACATTCCCATTTCATTGCATGTTTGACAAAGATATGGTTATTTTACAAGTTGGAAATGGTATAAGAAGACTGTTAAACAGGAGAGAATTTCAAGCAAAGCCAAACTTCGATGAATGGTTTGAAATCCTGGCTCCTAAAATAAATTGCACATTTAGTGGAATCATGACAATGCTGAATATGCAGTTCACTATAAGGGTGAGAAGAAGGGACAACACTCTTAAAAAGTCAACAGGGGTAAGGCTTATTATTATTCTTTGTTGCTTTCTTTACTTATTTTTTCATTACATCAATCTACTTCTAATGCAGCTGTAAGACTTCAATCTTGAATGTTATTACAAAAGTCAGTGAGTGGAACTGTGTGAATGATATTTTCCTTAGTTTTGGTGGCTTCTATATTTATGTCCAGTTAGGAACATGTGGCTCAGGGAGAACTACAAGCTCGCGCGCGCGCTCTCTCTCTCTCTCTCTCTCTCTCTCTCTCTCTCTCTCTCGCATTTGTGTGCCACCTTGTGTTCCAAGGGCTCTCTGGGAGGCTCACATATTTATATGAAGTATGTGTGTATGAAATGTGTACTTTTGCCTCTTGCAGCTTCCTTTTTGGATATAATCTGATGTCTCAATGGAAGCAACAGTTAGTAGGTTCTTCAGACTCTCCTTGACTTCGGGTGCAGTCTGGTGCATGCTTAGACAGGAATAATATCCCTCTATTTCCCAGCTTTTCCTGACCAACCACGCTAGCTGGGAGATGCTGGTCACTGGAGGACTTTCTTTTGTCTAAAAATGCATGAGGTTGCACCCTTAAACTGTTCAAGGTAGGGGAATGATGAGGATGATTTAGGGAATGGAGTGCCAACTCCACAACACCTTTGGGGAGAAAATTGGTATGATGGGCTCAAAAAGTCGATTATCACTGCCTTCTATTGCTCTCAGTTTCTCATGTCACCTTCTCTTTCTCTCATTGTTTTAGGTTATGGATCTTAAAGGACAGATGATCTACATTTTTGAGTCTAGTGCCATTTTGTTCTTGGGATCTCCCTGTGTGGATAGACTAGAAGACTTTACAGGACGTGGCTTGTATCTTTCAGACATTCCAATTCACAATGCACTTAGGGATGTTGTTTTAATAGGAGAACAAGCCAGAGCTCAAGATGGACTGAAGAAAAGGCTAGGAAAGCTTAAAGCCACTCTTGAGCAGGCACATCAAGCCCTTGAAGAAGAGAAAAAGAAAACAGTAGATCTTTTGTGCTCTATTTTTCCTGAGGAGGTTGCACAGCAGCTGTGGCAGGGACAAGTTGTACAGGCCAAGAAATTTAACAATGTCACAATGCTTTTTTCTGACATTGTAGGGTTTACTGCAATCTGTTCCCAGTGTTCACCTATGCAGGTTATCACCATGCTTAATGAGCTCTACACTCGCTTTGATTACCAGTGTGGAGAGCTGGATGTCTACAAGGTAGAGAATTTATTGCATCCATTTGGCCTTCTAGACAGAGAAAGCACTCCTGTAAGGAGATGAATGGGACCTGAACAGCTATTTTGACCTGGACTTCAAAATATAAGATGAGGAGAGTATGATGAAATGGAAAGTAAAGCATCAGTTGTTTGCAGAGTATGTTGTGTGTTGCTATGTCTCCTGCAGCTATGCCAGAGATGTGATGTAATCTAAAAGATGGTGGTGTAACTCTGGAATAAGTAATTTAGCAAATTACATAACTAGGAGTGTGGTCCTCAACACTTGTGGTGCAGAGTGAGTCTATTGACTTAGTGGCACTATTCATGAGGAGGTGCCTTGTGAATCCCTGCTAGAACCACCGAGATTGTGAATGAATAAACATTTTGACATAATAGCAATTTTGTTATAATAAATGATTGCTTCAACCTAGATTTTGCAACTCAGACTAATCTTCAGCAGTTGGCAAGTTGTATTATACAACTAACATGGCAGAGCTCCAGTTCACATTTACTTCGAGAATAGGAATGGACTGGGGGAGGCAGGGAGGCTGGAATAGAACAAAGTTATGAAGGCCTGTTAAACTGCGCCCTGTGTTTTTTTCATGACATTTTGCTTGTATTATAAGAAATGCATTTCAATTTTTAGGTAGAAACCATTGGTGATGCATATTGTGTGGCTGGAGGCTTGCATAAAGAAAGTGAGACCCATGCTATTCAGATTGCATTGATGGCACTGAAGATGATGGAACTGTCTGATGAAGTGATGTCCCCACATGGAGAACCCATCAAGGTTAGCAAGAAATCTCAGAAACACCTAATTGTTGGTGTTTTCAATACTGGTTGGTAGCAAATGTTCCTTATTTTGGGTTTTCAATGAAAAATCATATATGCTCTTCTTTCACACTTATTTGATCCACTTTTTGTAGACGATGTTCCATATTCCTTGCTGCTTTTCAGTGCACAATTAAGACCAAGCTATATGTGATGAAGGAAATTGAATTACCTGCATTTTCAAAATGTGTTACATTGCCACATGGGGGACACTGATTTGATCAGAGAAGCAGTAATGGGGGAGAAGGTTTTAACATGCACCCCACCCCAAAAACTGTTGCAGCCCCACAGCAGTGGGAAAAAAGACATGTATAATTGCTTGATATTCATGGTGGTGAAGGTTCTGACACTCTCTGAACTGGTCTGGAACAATGAAGTCTTCAGCTGCTCAAAGAACTAGACAGTTACTGCAGTTCATAGTGTATGAGGTAAAGGAAAGTTGGTTTGGCTAGCATGAAACCCTCACACAGGATCAGGCTGAGAATTGGAACAAGTTTCTGTTAGGAAACTAAGGGACAACTTGTAGGCAAGCTAAGCAGCAACTGATGGGCAGCTAAGAACCTGGAGTCAAGGAGGATAAAGGAAATGTGCAAAGCAAGGAATGTACTGAGAGAGAGCAATTGTAGCAAGAGTAGGTGGCTTGAGAAAAGGGTATGGGAAACAGAACTGAGTCGAAGGGCCAATGAGATAGAAGAATTTTATGGCCAGGATGGCACAGCACTTAAAGTCAGCTGCCTGATTTGGAAGAAAGGAAAAAGGCAATTGCTGGAGGGAGTGATGAGGGGAGCTATAGGAATTGTTTATACGATTCTAGCAGAGGTGGGAACTTGTAGCCTGCAAGATGTTTTCTTTTACCTCACCACTAGCCTGCAAAGCCAGTAGTGAGAGATGATGGAAGTTGTAGGGCAAACCATCTGTAGGATTACAAGTTGTCCACCTCTGGCCAACTTACCAGAAGAATTCTGCAAGGCAATATTTCTGCAGTAGCATTTGGTTGTGCCAACTTTAAGGGAATAATAAGGACGTCAATATCATGAATATCCACCAAATTCTTTTGCTGCAAGCTTTTATCAAGAAGATAAATACCTCATTAGAAACAATCATGTTGGTGGAGTTTTGTATTCAGCTCAGATAGCGCATGAGCATGAATCAGCAAGTAGAAATTAGTAAAAGTCAGGAGCACACTTTAGGAGTATTGACTTCATCTCGCCTTCTAGCACACATTTACACACACTTAAGCCTCACTGAAACTAATAGGATTCTGTGTGTGCATGCAGGTAGAATGGGATCATTTACTTTCAAAATAACAGAGCCTGAAACCTAAAGCACTGTCCAAATATCTGTCCATCTCCTATATTACAATTAACCAAATACTGGTTTATAGCTCAGTTAACTATATGGGATTCCCTTATACTCCTACAAAATGGTATTCACCTTTCAAGTGTTGAAAATAATGTTTTACCATGCAATATACTCTGTACACACAAACCTCTGGGATTATGCAAAATGTATGAACCTAGAGACATGCTTGGTTTTGTGGTTACAGTATAAATAACTGATTTTTCTAACTGGAAACAGACAGGATACTGTCAAGGGTTTTGATGGGAAAATAAACAGGCTGTATTGTATTTACCATTGTAGAATCATAGAATACAGACAATGATTACAAACTGTGCTCAGTGCTTGATTTTGTGGGTGAAAGACAAGATGAGTAAATTCATGTTAAAACTTGTGAGTGGACAATTTAGCCACATGGGTATTTTTGGCTACTTTCATTGCTTCTAATATGAGAGAGTTGTTATAAATGTCCCTTGATTATTAGCAAGCTCATTTTTGCACTTCCAATTTTATGAAATTTATGCTTTAATGCACTTACTCTGCAGTATTGCATGTGTGTCACTCATCTGCTATAGCCGTGTAGATGATGCCTGCACTTGGTTTCATGCAAACCTGCTTTCCCATTTAAAACTGCTCAATGTGTAAATCCAACACATATTAAAGCTGGATTGGGGGTGTGCACTGAATCATCAGCTGCATTAAATATTGCAAATTTTACCAATATCTGAGTTTCTGTGTCTTTGTGAGGCACATCTGTGAATTGGTCTCATGTACTTCATTCAAAGCTGCCACGTTTTGAAGATGAAGTGTGGGATAGACAGGCACTCATAATGTCCCTTAATAAAAGAAATCATAACCAGTGTGGTGTAGTGGTTAAGAATACAGTACTGGGACTCAAGCAATCTGGGTTCTAGTTCCCATTCAGCCATGGAACCAAGTGGGTTACTTTGGGCCAGTCACAGACTCTCAGCCCAACCCAACTCACAGAGTTGCTGTTGTGGGAATCAGAATGAGAGCAGCAGGAGGAGGTTGATTGAATTTGCTTTGAATTCTTTAAAAAGAGGGGAAAAGTGGGATATAAATCGAATGAATGAATGAATGAATGAATGAATGAATGAATGAATGAATGAATGAATCACTGTTACTTGTTGCTATGCCTTGGGACATCTGTACATGAACAACCATGCTGTACCTGCTTTAGATTATTTCTTATGTAGGCTATTCCTAGGCATTTACAAAAGCCAGGATGAAACTGCAAATTAAGGAGGTTATTCTGGCAACGTTTAGAACTCCTGAATCTCAGAGAATCATTCTTTCCCCACTTCTTCCTAAGTAAGAGGATTGTGGGCTCAGTCTGCTAAGAACAATCCAGAAAGTGCTGCTGATTTGCAGTAGGGTTTGTTCTAAAGTGCCGTGCATGCCTTGTTTAAATTAATGTGCATAAACAGTGCCAGTTGGACAATACTAAGTCTTGTCTGATGAATGTGCTTTGTTTTGACTAATGGTTATTGAGATTAAGAATCTGCTTTCCATGCTGTATTACTTGTTCATGATTATAATCCATCATGATTAGAGAGGGACTAAAAAGAAATCAATCTTACCTGGCCCAAGACCAGGAAGCCTCTGTAAATGTGATTTATTCATTTGACTTTTGTTTTCTGTCAAACATATTTTTAAAAATATCTTCTCTTGTTTTTCAAAGATGCGCATAGGCCTACATTCTGGCTCTGTCTTTGCTGGCGTTGTTGGTGTTCAGATGCCACGATATTGTCTATTTGGAAACAACGTAACACTCGCCAACAAGTTTGAGTCTTGCAGTGTTCCCAGGAAAATAAATGTCAGTCCAACAACCTACAGGTAGTTTCTCAGAAGTACTATATAGTATTTTATTTGAATCTCAATCTAACTCTGTTTCAGTCCCCTGTGTATTGCTTTATATTACACTCCTAAAGGCTTTTTGTAGAAGCAGTGATTCCATTTTGGGACCAGATGATCAGAAATGTTTTTCACTAAAGCTTGGTAAACAAATCTATTGCTTCTGGGTCCTTCTGTACTCCAAGGCCTTGCAGGGCTCCAACCTGAGAAAACTCAGGTTTTCTTCAGGAGAAACAAATGCCATCAAGCCCCTCTCTTTCTTCCAATCCTCTTCTACAGAAATTCAAGTAAGAGTTTCGCTCTTACTTGGGCTGTTACAGAGGTTGTGCCAAACGTGCAAATCAGCCTCTTTCAGCAGACCAAGTATCAACATTCTTAGTTTCAGCATTTCAAAACCATCACCATATATTTCCTCATTGCTAGATGTGATTTGCATGTAAGGATGGAGTTCAGTCCCAATCAACTACTCTTGCTTGCTTCTGAATTTCATTTGACAGCCATCAGATAGAACATGATGTCTACTTTGAAATGCTGATGTTAAGTTTGAAGTAAGAAGGTAATTTACATACATTTAGCAATGACCTTTGTTACCTTGTAAAATGCATTCATTCATTCAACTCTGCTCTTGGTTGTAAATTCAAATAGAATTTCCTTTGCACTTTCAGCACTACTTGCTTTTTCACTGAAGCTTATATCCAGACTGACACTTTTGTTGTATTTAATTTCATTTTTATTCCTCACTTTCTTGGTATTTTAAAAATATATCTTTGATTCACAATGCAGCCTTTGGATCACACAGACATGTTATCCTAACAATATTCATGGTAATCTTGCACTCTTGTGCTTGCATATTTTCCAAATAAGTTAGTGTCAAAGCATGCTATCCAAACATGGGAAAACTTTATGATGGAATTGTGATGTCTGGTTTTGCAGGGCCTGGAGTGGTTATGTTTAACTTCTGCTTTGAAATTAATTGACAGAAGAGATTACCAAAATAATTAAAAGCACAGATGCTTTAGCACAACAACAACAACAAAAATGATTATGAAAAGGAGGAAAGGGCGAACTCAAGTTTTCCATCTAGACAATTCAGAGCAAACTTTTGCCTGTTGCAAGGTATAACTTATATGGAAGCCTGTGTAAAGTAGAAGAACAGAATTGAGGTGTTTGTGGATGAGGTAGATGTTCATTTTTAAGTTAATACTTATTTGTACTGGTCAGGGCAGTCTCAAGATATTTTGCTGTCCTAAGCAAAATACAGTTTGGATGTCTCCCTGCCACTGCTAGTTCCTAAACAGCATGAAATGGGTTTATGGAGCAGGGGATTTTGAGTTTTCTTGGAAACTAATCAGAAACTGTTTGGGGGCACACAGCTAAAAAGAGTCTTGGAGATTTGAAAGGGCAGGCCTCCCACAATTCAAGTGCCTCATTATCAGCACCTCCTCTCCCAAAGTTAGCAAGCTGATTTTTGCAGCCTGCTGCTTCCCCCACTAGAAAATGTATTGCGATTTAAAGTGGCACTCCGCTGTAGCATGGACTGTCCTGCAAATATTATACCAAATACTATACCAGATATGAATCAGCCATTTGTTTCTCTGATGGCAGTTACAGCCTCATACATAAGATTACAGAGGTCAAAAGTCACCCCTGACTACGGGCACAATCCTAATCATGATTATGCAGTAAAAAATAAACTTCTTCACTTCCTAACATTTGTCAACCAGCATGGCCAGCTGTGGAGTTGTAAGATTTTTTTTTCTGTCTAAACATGCATAGGATTATGTTTTACAAAAATGAAACAAAACAAAGACGCGTGTTTTTCCATTCCACCACTTTAATAGCTTTATGCAAACAGAAAGCTTTGCTGCCTATACAGAGTTCCACAAAGTTGTTTTCATTTTCTTTAGTTTCAGGGAAATGACCTGAACGAGATAATAAAGTGATCAGAAGAATCTTATGTGCATAAATTTTCCTGTGCTGGATCCTGAAAGAATATGGACCTTCGTGTGTGCTTTGGAACACCTTACAGATCTTTATAGTACTTGCTTAGTTCAGAATAATACTGCTTCACATATGCAAAGAGCAACAATTGTTATTTTACCTTAGCTAACAATTTGTAACATTCAAGATGTATAGGCTTACATTTATGTTTATATCTAATAAAAACATTTTAACTTTGTTGCAGGTTCCTAAAGGATCATCCAGGATTTGTATTTACGCCTCGGTCAAGGCAGGAGCTTCCATCCAACTTTCCAAGTGACATTCCTGGGATCTGTTATTTTCTTGATGCTTATCTTCAAGGAACAAATTCAGTGATGTGGATTCAAAAGAAAGATACTGAAGCTGGAAAAACAAATTTTTTGGGGATGCCAACAGGAATAGATTAAATTTGTGCTTGTTTGCATTTCAGGAAGAATGTATTAATATTCTGAATTTTGTAGAAACTGAAAATTAAGAAAAACAAAGAAACATGGCAGCCAGTATGAAAACTACAAGAATACATCCCATTTTACTTCTAATGTTTATTTAAAAACTGTATTCGATTAATAACAGTTTGAGAATGAGAGAAGGAGCATGGCAGATGAGGCACAGAGTGTTTTACAGTGGAAGGAGAACACCCAGCTGGCCAGTCGCCTCTTTCCTCTAGCTGCTTTGCCAAGCGTGAATCTGATAAGGCCCAGGAAACGTTTTTTTGCAGTTCTCCAGCCTTCTCAGAAGCTCTCCAGCCTTCTCAGATTTTAGACAGCTTCTCAAGGGACCATTCAGCATTCTAGACATGTAGTACCAAGCCACAGATGAGCAGAATGTGATGTAGTTCAGTTCTTAGTGTACAGAAGTGATATAGTCATGTGGAATTCTATTAATATCAGTTGCTTTTAGATGTTCTTTAAGCTTTCTCTGGTTTGTCAGTGGTGGAGAAACATGGTTCACAATTGATATTGTTGGTGGGCCATGGGAAGAAGTTTTAACCTCCCCCAGCAATTTCATCCCATCTGCATGTGACGCCCCCCAACCCTGTCACTGACCAGAAGAGCTCAGTTGAGTACCGTAGGAGGTATGGAGGAAAGGGGAAGTAGCCACAAATTATGTTTAGCATATGTTGGGTGCCACTGCTTTCCTAATCAAAAATAAGAGCCTGCTTAAGCATTACACAGCATAACTTGCCCTGTGAGTTATCTGTCGCTAAGTATTCTAAAGTTTTCTGCACCAATAGGCAGTGAAAGCTGAAAGAGGCAGAAATCAAGAACACAATGAAGAAGGAGCTGCTGGCTGATTTGTGTCACTTTATCTCTGTAATGACCAATTTTTTGTAAATGCTTGGAGAGGTAGAATCAAAACTGATCCACCCCATCTGGCTTGTTGTGCAAATTAGCAATGGGGAATGAGAGATCAACCACATTGTTGAAAAACTTTGTTCAGATGCATGTTGGATACTTGTGAGAACTATCCTGTTTGCCTAATGTAGGATCCAGTCCTTTTCTGGTTGGGACACGGCGACCTTACAGCTCCTAAAACTTGAAGTATGGAGCTGGGATGTGTCGACTGGTAGAGGAGGAACACTGGATCTGGTCTGTTGGACTGATTAGTAGGAAGGCAAAAATATAAGCAGTCCCAGTTAATGCACCCTCCAGTGCCTTTTGAGATTCTTTGTGTTAATTTATTTATGCTGATAGTCCATCATTGCTGTTCTAATAATTATTCATTCATCTTAAAGAAAATTAAAGTAACTGATTACAGTATTTTAAAATAATCAGAAACTTGCTTCATTTTAATTCTTCCAGCACCATATCTCTGCACATTTTGTTATGTGGCAGATTTTTGCATGGTAGTGCAGTATGCATTGACAATGTATGACATTTGCACTAGATAAATGTACAGTACATTACAAATCTTGTCCCAGCCCCCATGCTTCATGTGTGTACTGTAACAACCCATGCATTTGCACTAGCACCAACAATGACTTGGCTGGATTCTCCCCCCTCCCCACCTCTGCCTCCCCAAGCACCCTCTAGTTCTGTTAATCAGCTAAGAGATTCTGGGCAGAACTGCAAAACACTGCCTAATTTGAAGTTTGACCTAGGAGGGAGATTTCTCTTCAAGAACTTTTATCTGTCCCATCTTGGGTCCAAGTCAGAAAGTATTGTCACTCGTGTGTGTATGTATGTGTGCGTGTCTGTCTTTGATGTACATAGAAGTCACTTATGGATGAGAAAGTCTTGCAATTTTTTGCTCCAAATGTGCAAAGAAAAGGTGGGAAGCTGTAAAATAGCCAGAACTGTCCTAAAATCCGTCACATCCTGTATTGGTGCAATTTTGCATCAATCAAGTAAAATATTGTTCAGTGCTAACCATGAACCATTTTAAGCATAAAAATGCTTACCACAAGAAGAAAATAGAAGTCTACATCCCACAGTGACCAACTAAATGTCTAAGCAAGCCCACAAGCCAGATACAAGCACCACATGAGTACCCTTCCAGTTGTGTTCCAAAACAACACAAGAGCCATGCTGCTTTTGATACTGGACATAATAGAGAGCCATAATGTGTAGTAGCCATTCATAGCCCTGTCTTCCATGAACTTCTCCAATCCCTTTTTAAAGTTGTCAATTGCCGTATCTTGTAGAAACAAAATCCATATTTTGATTATGGGGTCTATGTCCCGAATCTGCTACTGCTCAGCTTCACTGGATGATCCTTGGTCCTCCTATTAAGGCTCTGCACTGTGCATAATTGTATGCACATCAGTCATGTCCTCTAAGCTGAAAAATATCTAAGTGTTGTAGCATTTCCTCATAGAGGATTGCTTGATTATCCCAGTGGCCCCTTTTCACACAGTTTCCACACGGCAACATCATGGTACATGGTATTCCAAGTGTGGCAGCACCATAGATACGTATAAAGGCATTACAATATTGGCATTCCACAATTGCCTACATCCTCTATTGTTATAATTTGTGAATAATTTGTTTAGTTTCTTTTCAATCTCCTTTTCCATTAGTATTGCTTAATCTCCTTAATCACCAAACAGTCCAACCAACTCCATAGCAGTTTTCTTGCTTTAATTATTTAAAAGAGTTGTACTGTTATCTGTAATGTTATTATAGGTACATTTCTCAAAATCCCCTTTCCATCCCTTATTGCCTATTTGTATTTTATTTGTGGTCAGTTGTTTTTCTTTTCATTCTCATTTGGGAACCTCTTCTCATTCTTCTTGACAGTGATAGTTAACCATGCAGGTGACCTGCTGGACCAACTTTTCTGCTCTGTGGTCTACATTCTAGCTGAGCTTCCGTTACTGTGGCTTTCAAGATGTCCTCATGCATTCTGGAACGATCTGGATCTCTTGACTTGCCCTTTTACCTTTATCAGTCTTTTCACTTTTAAGAAGTTTCCTTGGCAATGTTGGACTTAGATGTAAATTAAAACTGATGGCACATTTCTAATCTGTTTGGCAATTTACATCTCACACTAGATCCTGGGTACCACTTAGGATTAAGTAAAAGGTTGGCATGCCTTTGGTTTGTTTCATGACTAATTGTATTCTGCTTAGAGGGTCTTTGGGCTGATTCAGTGGATAATAAGCACTTAAATAAATAAATAATTCTACAGCAGAGTTGTTAGGATATTTAGAAATATTCTTCATCATGAGTAGAATGTGCTTTTATTCAGTCTGTGTGAACGTAACCCTTACCATAACACTTTGGGCTTCCTGCTTTCATTCCCCCTCTCATGATTGCCATGATTATTGTGGCAGGGGAAGGGGGATGGCAGATGCTAATGAAATGTCAGGACACTAAGCAATTCACTTTGGTCATAATCCTGTGCACATCCAGTGGGGGTTTCTTCTGATTAAGATCTTCATAGGATGGCTCTGCATACATGATTATCAGCCGTTTCCAGTGCTAGTACAGATTATGCCATTCACTGCTTCCAGAACTTATTCACTGTCTATAAATTAAATATATGTAATATATTGTATAATCAAATGCTAAAACTTCTGTAGCTAAACAGCATTTTATTAATTCACATTATAAATCTTACTCTAAGGGGAGCACATTTTCCGTTATGTATTATAACAGTATGTTTTCTTCTAGCTGATATTTAACTGTTTAAGTTAAAACATGTAAACTGCTTCACAGTATTAACCATTTCTAAGACTGCATAGCATTCAACACAGAAATGTGAGGAACTGAAATGAGGTACAAATTATATATGTATATATAGGCTTTGGATACACTGTGGTTGTGTTTTGATATATGATGAGTTTAATAAAAGGAAATACACTAGAATGGTGCACAGATCATTTGTTTGATAGAAGTATATAGTTGTCTACTGAGCTTATCGTATTAAAGGTGAAGAACATACCATCCAGCTCTCTATTCCTCCAGTCCTTATCAACAATTCCAAGGCTCAGGAGTCTTCAACAATAGACTATTCATAAGCAAAGGCCAGTGTGTTACATGCTATGGTCCTGAAGAAAAATTACAGATCATGATGAATTCCTGCCAGAATTCACTAATCCCCCACTCTGATCCAGTATTGTTGCAGGATCTGGATGCAGACTGGAAGAGGAAAAACATGCAGATTATATTTTGCTGACCTGGAAAATCAAGTGAAGACAGGCAAGATTAAGAAAATTAGATGAGTCCTCTGGGATCAGACTAAAGATCCATCTCTTCCACCATCCAACACATTATAAGATGCTGCTTGGAGGTCAATAAAGCAGGGGATGGCTTTTTCATAGTGCTGGTTCCCAGGAAATTGTAAGACGAGAACTGTCTTGTGACTGACAGCATGGATAGAGCCATTGTTTATATCTATTCCCCTTTAAAGGCATCCAAGGGTTGGAACAGGTATTACTTTAAATATATGTCTAGAGGTGATATCATTTCCTATTTCTTTAATCTTGAGTAGGTGTAGAAACTGCTATAGACATGATCACAAAATATGAGTTACCTAATGGAAGCTTGGAGACATAGTCAAAAGAGGGTAAAAGAAGTGGTGGTGGGAAGAAATAGGCTGAGGGCAGTCATAGCAAGGCACAGAGGTAGAGAAAGAACCAGGTTAGAGACTAGAAACAGTGTGGGAACAGTGAACTAAAGCAATAAAGCTAGAAGTTGGAAGTGAAAGATCAAGGAAAGGGATGGAGAGATGAAGAAATGCAACTTTAGAAAAGGACAGAAAGAAGCCAAGGTTTCATTTTATAAATAGGAATAGCTTTGCAGGCATCTTGGCATCCATGAGCACTATATTGGAGTTCCTCAACAAGTGGGAGGTATTTCTATCTGTCCTGAATTGTCTGCCAGTAAATCTCATTAAATAATTAAATACATGCCCCCCCACCTAACACTGAGTATTTTAAAACAAGTAGACCAGCTTACTCCACCCTATACATAATTTTATAAGCCTTTATTACATCTTCCCCTGCATCCTTATGTTTATGTTATTTGCAAAGTCATGCCCGACCCATCACGACCTCATGGACAACATTCTTCTAGGGTCTCCTATCTTCCACCATCCCCCGGAGTCCACCTAAGCTCACACCGACTGCTTCAATGACTCCATCTAGCCACCTCATTCTCTGCTGTCCCCTTCTTCTTTTGCCATCTATTGTTCCCAGCATTAGGCTCTTCTCCAGTGAGTCCTTCCTTCTCATTAGGTGGCCAAAGTATTTGAGTTTCATCTTCAGTATCTGGCCTTCTAAAGACCAGTCAGGGTTGATCTCCTCTAAGACTGACTGGTTTGATATCCTTGCAGTCCAAGGGACTCGCAGGAGTCTTCTCCAGCACCACAATTCAAAGGCCTCAGTTCTTCAGCGCTCACCCTTCCTTATGGTCCAGCTTTCACAGACATACACTGCAACTGGGAAGACCATAGCCTTGACTATATGCACTTTTGTCGGCAGGGTGATGTCTCTGCTTTTTAGTATGCTATCTAGATTTGCCATAGCTTTCCTCCCCAGGAAAAAGCGTCTTTTAATTTCTTGGCTGCAGTCACTGTCTGCAGTGATCTTGGAGCCCAGAAATATAAAATTTGTCACTACCTCCATGTCCTCCCTATCTATTTGCCAGGAAGTGATAGGACCAGATGCCACGGTCTTAGTTTTCTTAATGCTGAGTTTCAAGCCAACTTTTGCACTCTCCTCTTTCACCCGCATCAAGAGGCTCTTCTTCATTTCTGCCATTAGAGTGGTATCATCTGCATATTTGAGGGTGTTGATATTTTTCCTGGCAATCTTAATTCCAACTTGTGATTCATCTATTTATTTATTTAAAACATTTCTATGCCGCCCCCATCGCAACAAAGCCTCGGGGTGGCTCACAAAGAATACATGAAAACATACACAAATAATAATATAAAAAACAAACAAACCCCGGTGCATTCTCGGCTAAAAAATTTAAAATCCTAATTAATTCAATAATTTAACAATTAAAATAAGTTTTAAATAAACAGGTCTTAGCCTGGTGCCGAAAAACAAATAACGACAGCGCCAGGCGGACCTCTCTGGGGAGCGCATTCCATAGATTGGGAGCCACCGCAGAGAAAGCCCTCCTCCAAGTATTTACCCTCCTAATTTCCTTCATGGAGGGTTCCCAGAGAAGGGCATCCTTTCCTGATCTCAAGGGGCGGGAGGGCATATATGGGCGCAAGCGTTCTTTTAGATATACAGGTCCCAAGCCGTTTAGGGCTTTATAGGTCATAACCAACACCTTGAATTGGGCCCGGACTTCAATCGGGAGCCAGTGGAGCTGATGGAGAACTGGGGTTATATGAGAACAATGCCCAGTCCCCGTCAGCAACCTGCCAGCTCTATTTTGCACCAATTGAAGTATCTGGACTGTCTTCAAGGGTAGCCCCATGTAGAGCGCGTTACAGAAATCTAATCGGGAAGTTACCTGTGCATGTGTCACTGTCGCCAGGCAGTTGTTCTCCAGGAAGGAACACAGCTGATATATCAGCCGAAGCTGAAGGAAGGCGCTCCTCGCCACCGCCATCACCTGAGCTTCTAGAGACAGCTCAGGGTCGAGGAACACTCCTAAGCTGCGAACCCTGTCCCTCAGAGGGAGTGCAACCCCATTTAGAACAAGGCCCAAGTCCCCCATCCCGAGGCCCGAGCCACCCACCAACAGGACCTCCGTCTTGTCAGGACTAAGCTTCAGTTTATTGGCCCTCATCCAGCCCATTACCTTGGCCACTGCCTCACCTGGATTTGTGGAAAATGAGAGGTAGAGCTGGGTACCATCAGCGTACTGATTCCGCAGCCCACACCTCCTGATGACCTCTCCCAGTGGTTTCATATAGTTGTTAAATAGCAAAGGGGACAAAACGGACCCCTGCGGAACTCCATGGCATAACTGCCATGGCACAGAGCCATAGTCCCCCAGCACCACCTTCTGAAATCGACCATTGAGATAGAAATGGAACCACCTCCAACTCCCAATCCCACTAGCCTATTCAGAAGGATACCATGGTCGATGGTATCGAAAGCCACTGAGAGGTCCAGGAGAACTAACAGGGACGCACTCCCTCTGTCTCTCTTCCTGCGCAGGTCATCGTACAGGGCGACCAAGGCAGATTCAGTGCCATACCCGAGTCTGAAGCTGGACTGAAATGGGTCCAGATAATCATTTTCATCCAAGAGTGCTTGGAGTTGTCCTGCCACCACCCGCTCTAGCACCTTGCCCAGGAACGGGATGTTGGCCACCGGTCTATAATTGGCGGCCACCTCTGGATCCAGGGATGCCTTCTTTAGGACTGGCCGGACTACCGCCTCTTTTAAAGAGGAAGGTACCCGGCTGTCTCTTAAAGAGGTGTTGACCGCCTCCAGGATCCAGGTCCGAATCCTGTCCTTGGCTTTCTTAAGTAGCCAAGATGGGCATGGGTCTAGTAAGCAAGTGGTAGGACGTACTTGTCCAAGCACCTTGTCCACATCATCAGGCCACAACAACTGAAATTCATCCATTAATTGTGGACTCGATGGCATCAATGGCGTCTCCCCAGTAGAATCTGATTCAATAGCAGAGTCAAGCTCGTGGCGAATCTGAGCGATTTTCTCCCTGAAATGCTTGGCAAAGTCATCACAGCAGGCCTTCGAGGGTGGCACAAGATCTTTCTTTGGGCCCAGATGTAACAGCCCCTGCACCACCCGAAAAAGCTCCGCCGGACGGCATTGTGAGGAGGCAATGAAAACGGAGAAGAATTTCTTCTTCACCATCCTCACCGCCACAGCATAGGCCCGATAATGGGCTCTTAGGTGTGTTCGGTCAGAATCACCCCGTGATCTCCTCCACCTACGCTCTAGACATCTCCCAACCTGCTTCATCGCCTGTAATTCAGGTGTATACCAAGGAGATGAACGGGCTCTGCCAGGTGGGAAAGGACGCTTGGGAGCGATCGTGTCAATAGCCCTGGTCATCTCCTCATTCCACAGTTCAACCAGGGCATTGACAGGATCACCAGCCTTGTCAACCAGAAAATCCCCCAGAGCTTCCAGGAATCCGTCAGGATCCATCTGGCTCTGTGGGTGGACCAATACAATCGGGTCTGCACCCCTGCAGAGGGAAAGGCCACTCCCGAGCTCAAACCTTATGAGGAAGTGATCTGACCATGACAAGGGCGTCAAGCTTAAATTCCTCACCCTCAGATCACCCTCTTCCTGCCCCGTCGAGAAAACAGGTCCAGAGTGTGTCCACGTTCATGGGTCGGGCCAATGATGTGTTGAGACAGCCATGGAGGCCATGAAGTTCTGAGCTGCCCCGGTTAGAACCGTCTCGGCATGGAGATTGAAGTCCCCCAGGACCAACATCCTGGGAGTCTTCAAAACCAGGTCCGAGACGATCTCCGTCAGCTCAGGCAGGGAGTCTGTTGGGCAGAAGGGTGCACGGTACACCAACAGAATCCCCACTCTGTCTCGGTCACCCAACACCAAGTGGAGGCACTACAGCCCCGGCCTCGAGAGGACAGGAAGCCCCGCAAGGGAAATAGAAGCTCAATAAACCAAAGCGACCCCCTCCCCTCCCCTCCAGGCGTGGTTGGTGCTGGACCAGGTACCCGGGCGGGCACAATTGTGAGAGGGAAACATCCCCCTGCTCACCCGCCCAGGTCTCTGTGATGCACGCCCGGTCGGCCCTCTCATCCATGATCAAATCATGGATGGGTGTTGCCTTATTTTGGACCAACCTGGCATTAAGAAGCAGCACCGACAGGCCCGGAGGGCAGTTGACAAGTCTACCTGGAACCTGCCGGCTGGGGGAATAACCAGAAAGAGGGACAGGTGTTAACCAT